AGATCGGATACAATGTAGCGATATCCTAGAAGTTGTCATAAATGATCTTCTTCTTCTTCTCGGTATTGGATTTGGTGGATCTCGTCCTATAGAAAGCTGACGGCTGCTGTCCCCGGGTCCCCCTACACGGCTCTCATCTATTCTACACCAGAAGACACCCCGATATCCGACGTCTTGAAGCCATTTACTTCTAACACCCAGAAATGGACATTATTGCTCCACCGGAGGAGGACAGGTTCTCTGATGAACACAGAATCGGTTCTGTAGTAGACTAAAGCGGACCGCACGCGGTTAGATTTCCTCTCACTTCCTGTTATGGCGATCGGATAGGAAGTTAAAGGAAATCTCAATGGGACACAGATGGCAACAAAACATGACAGGGGCTATAACCCTTGCCTCTATCCAAAACTAAAAAAAAAAAAAAAAAAGAAGTATTGGCTTCAGTTCTACGTGAAGTTATAAAACTCTCGGCGACATTTCCCAACAGACTCCTCGTTATCCCCGAGACCGCCATCTAGATCCGCACACAGAAGAAGATCTAAATCAGGGGTGCCCATTAGGTAGATCCCGATCGGCACATTGACCTGCGTCCTGTCCTCCCGCGGTGCTCGTGCGGCTGAATGTGTCAGACGCCGCAGACAGGAAGGAGAGAGGAGACTTGGGAAGCTGCCGCGGTGGAGGTAAGAAAAGACAGACAGGAGAGAGAGCGCAGAGAAAGTGAGAGAAGAGACAGCAGATAGAAACAGGGGAGAGAGAGAGAGGAGAGAGTGCGAGGAGAGAGAGAAGAGACAGCAGAGAGTGAGAAGAGACAGCAGAGAGAGCGCAGAGAAAGTGAGAGAAGAGACAGCAGACAGGAACAGGGGAGAGAGAGAGAGGAGAGAGTGCGAGGAGAGAGAGAAGAGACAGCAGAGAGTGAGAAGAGACAGCAGAGAAAGTGAGAGAAGAGACAGCAGAGAGTGCGAGGAGAGAGAGAGAGAAGAGAGGCCGGTTCACACCACTAAGTCTGCGTTCCAGAGTGTTCGGCCTCTAGAACGCATTGCAACGCAAGCCGGCGTCTCCCCGCGTTCAGAGGCGGGAGGGGGCGTGGCGGTGCATTGAAGTCAATAGCACCGCAGCCACGCCCTCAGTGTGATCGCCCGCACCCGGAACGCAGGCACATTAATGCCTGTGTTCAGTTCCAGCGCGATCTGCAAAAATGCCGCATTTTTGCAGATCACACTGGACCGGAACGCAGGCACTAATGTGCCTGCATTCCTGGTGCGGCGAATGCACTGGGGGCGTGGCTGCGGTGCTATTGACTTCAATGCACCGCCACGCCCCCTCCCGCCCCTGAATGCAGGTGTTTTTTCGTTGGTAGATCTCATTGAGCTCGTCATTTGAAAAGTAGATCTCAAGACGAAAAATTGTGGGCGCCCCTGATGTAGATGTATTACAATGGCGGCCGCGATGAGAAGTCTCTGACTCCACATAAACCTCTGAACACCTCCCAGGAACGTCAGCCGATCACAAGGAACATCGGAAGTATGAGGAGCGTCCTCGTATCAGAGAGGGAAAACTTCCCCGAAAGTAACAACATATCATCTACAAACGTCTCATACAATGTATCACTCGGCTCTCCTCCCGATATCAGGATCTGCAACAAAAGGAACCTCAGCAGTCCACAGTACATCATATACAAAATGTCCACCAA